AGAAGGAGAAGGAGAAGGAGAAGGAGAAGGAGAAGGAGAAGGAGAAGAAGAAGAAGAAGAAGAAGAAGAAGAAGAAGAAGAAGAGCAGCCGAGAAGGTGCTCCAGGCAATTTTCAGGATAGGCAGTGTTCAGGGACTCAGCATGGAGAGACGTGGCTCACTGCCCCCAACAGGCCTTTTTATTATGGCCAGGAGACCTTCTTTAGTGGTCTAAGGATGCATTGCCTTTCCAGGAGCGATGCGGAGGATGAGGGGAGGCTCTGGCCAGTGCCTACTCTTCCTGTGCCCTGTCCTTTCCTGGTGGGCAGGCAGGGCAGTGGGAAGGAAGGCTGGCTTACCATAGCAGTGCAGAATCTCTTCTCCCTTTCTGATCTGCCGTGCTGCCCGAACGGTGGCAGCGGTGCCGGTGAAGGACATACTTGTGTTGGGGCTGCAGGAGTGGTTCAGGAGGCTGACAACAGGGAAGATGCCCGTGGCAAGGCGTACCTGCCTGCTGTCGGTAATGACGCTCTCGTTAGACTCTGAAAGCACAGGAACAAAAGCAAACGTGCATCAGGACATTTGTCCTGTCCTTGCCATCTACTCCTCGGAAGATAACTGAACAGCTGGGCCTGCAGCCCATGAGTCAGGGCTCCGCAGCCGGATCCAATACAAATCGATGGAACATGACTCATAGCAAACTCTGGTCCCAGGAAGCAAGTGAATAAGTACACGAAAGTCTGCTAGAGCATAACCATCACACCTGTATGTCACTCAACACCCCAAGATCAGAACTTAGAAAAAAAAACAACCAAAGAGGGAAAGCAGGCCGCTTTCCAGACAGTTCAGTGTTTGCAGGACTCAGAACTACAGCACCCTAAGGTTATCTCCCCAAGATGTCTGCAGTCCAGGTGCTTTTGCCTTTGGTTGCTACTGGAACAAGTGTCCTAGTTAAGTGTAGCACACTTCATCTTACGAAGCCTTAAGTGTATCCACAAAACCACAGCCTTCTTTGTCCTGTCTTTTGTCTAATCTTTTTAGAAACTGCTCTGCAGTCTCAGGTAAGCAACCAGTATGTGTTCTGCTGAAGGGAATGTTACACAGAGACAACCTCTCTGCAGGACAGTAAACCAGCGATTCACACAACTGCAGATCAGGAAGGAAGAAAGGGCTCAAGGCAGAAATGCTGGTTTGCATGAGCTCCCATCCACACATACGTGAGTTCTTCAGACTCGTGCGCACAGCTGGGTGTGCTAGGTTTCTGTTGCTATGGCAGAATCAACTTCAAAAGAGCGAAGAAAAGGTAAGCTGAGTGATGCATGCTTGTAATTTCAGCATTTGAGAGGCTGGACGAGAGCAGCAGCCTGGGCCATATAACTGATCCCATCTCAAACAAAACCAAAACCAAAACAAGCAACAAAAGCCCCACTTCCCAAAAGTTAACGGTGGTCAAGGCTTTAGCAAATGGACCTGTGGGCAACACATAAGCCCAAACTCTAACAGCCTGCATGCTCTTCAAACAAAATGTTAATTGATTTGGTCATGCAGTTTTTTCGGGCCAAAGAAGGTCAGAAGCAGAGAACTAGTGCGTGGTGGGTACACAGCAGGATTTTCTAACAATGGCAAGGCAGGAGGCAGAAAAGCCCTATGAGCAACACATCAGCTCCAAAGCACACAGAACTCCATTCCCATTCAAGTTTCATCCTACATGGAGCATTTTATTTACCCAGAGGCTCCTAGAGGGAGCACATCTACAAGGGTTTCTGTAGTAGCCAACAGGCCAGGAAGAAATATGATATATGTAGGATCGTAACAGAAAGGCTAGAATGATGATCTTAGCCCCAGTTTAATCAGGAGGGAAACAATATTTCCAATAAGCTGGTTAAAATGTGAGAAACCTGGATACTTAAAGGGAAACAGTTTTCTAAAAACTGAGAAACAAACAGATAACTGTGGTGTCACTGTCCATGTGCCAGGAATTTTAACTAATCGTTTATCAGAGAAGTAGCTAGTCTGGATTCAACAGAAAACACCATGAACCATCATGTGAAAATGTTCTACAAAGGGAAAAATTAAATATAAGAATTATGTTGTCTCTCTGTAGACAATTCTATTATCTGTTGCTATGGGGGACAAGAATAGGATATGTAAATACAATTCACAGGGAATCTAAATGACTCAATTTTACTCAAGAATTCTACAAACTGCATTAAAATCTTTCATCAGAGCTTCTCCTAAGAGCTGAGCTGCTCCAAGTCGCTCTGCTCACTTCTGCCTGCCTCCTGGAATATGTGCTAATGAACGGCGAGATGCTAAAAGGTAGGCAGCAGGAAGGAGCGGCACAGGGCACCAACAACTTGTCGTCTGAATAATCAGGGTCTGCATAATTAAAGGTTGACTTGCATCCTCAACTACTGATAACTGGCAGCCTCTATTAGAACAGTTGCTAAAATTTTCTCAGAAAAAAAAAAAAAAAAACCCGATTGCAACACAGTGAGTAATGTCAGCCTCATGAGTTATTTATAGATTATTCTCCAGAGGAAGGCTCAGGAGCTGAGTGGGGTGCTGGTGTCAGAGCTGAATGTCTCTCTAATTATTTCTAAAAAAATTGAGTATTGATTTTTAAAAATTACTCAATATTTCGCATTAGTCACCTATTAGCAGAAAATAGGAAGAGAGAATACGTATGTACCGTATCAGCCACATTTAATAGGTGACATTTTGTATATAAAAATAAGTGTGAGTGACTCTTTAGCAAAATTGTACCTTGGGTTTAAAAGTGTCCCTGATGCATTTCAAATGGGATTTAAACACACACACACACACACACACACAACATAAGAACTTTTCATCCTCCCAGGGCACAGCTACCTCCATAAACGGTCTGAAAAATAATAAGTGTGTGTAGGTGTCAGGTAACCAAGGACTGACCTGAACTAAGAGCAAAGGGCAGTTAGCTGATTCAAGACCACACAAAGCCTCATCAAGGCTTGTTAAGACACGAATCCAGATGCAACACACATGTGCGCTTCCCACAGGGACAGAACCACACACACCTCTACCAGGGTCCAGAATCCCATCAGTTTCCAGACCTCCTTAAGATGGGAATAAAGAGAGGTTTTTGAGGAACTTCGATTAAAATGAATATATGCAAAGATAATAACATACATTCTTAGAGGTCTTTGTCAAAGTCTATCCTAGTCAACACTTTAATCCTTCTTCTGTGCCACTAATGAAACAGCTGCTAATGAAATTCAATGAGAACTCTAAACTGGGAGGTGTTGGAACCCCAAAGAAACAATAAGAAGGGATCTAACAAGATCAGAGCTATGAATAGACTAAAAGAGAATCAGACAGAAAAAAAAAAAAAATGACATTGCTGGTGGCATGCAGCTGGTACAACTCACCTGGAGGGCAAATCTGCAGTATGTATCAAGCACCTTAAAAATGTTCATATGAAAATATTCTTAGCACTTAGATTGTTTCTATTATAAAAAGCTAATTAGAATACAGAAAGAATTTATGGTAGCTATGCAAAAATTAGAAACTGAAAATTACAGAGACAAGAACAGCCATCTAAAACCCAATTAGGCAGGGCCGAAGTTCTGCCATATTGTCTTTGCACTGGCCCCTTCTGTTCTATGTATGGAAAGAATTATTACTGTTATTATTATTTGGACAGGATCTTGTTAGGTAGCCCAAGCTGGCCTTGAGCTCACCATCCTCCTGCCTCCATCTCAGACTCATGAGTGCTGAGACTGTAGGAACGGACTGATATCCGTACTTGGTGTATGGAAATTTCAACATAATTGTGACCAGGGCACATGGTGATTTGTAAGTTCCTCCTTTTCACATAATATGTTACGGCCATTTAGAAAATATCCTGACCTAAAATGCACTAAAGACATAACTGAAAAGCAAACCAGCTACCTTAGTTAGGGCCGCACTGCTGAAATAAAACACCCTGACCAAAAACAACCTGGGCAGGAAAAGGTTTATTTGCTCTTAAAATCCTCACATGACATGCTCTCACTGAGCAAAGTCAACTAGGAACCTGGAGACAGGAACTAAAGCAGAAGCCATAGAGGAAAGCTATTTACTGTTTTTTTTTTGGTTTTTTGAGACAAGACTTTCCTGTGTAGCCTTGGCTGTTCTGAATTTGCTTTGTATACCAGGTTGGCCTTGAATTTACAGAGATCCACCTGCTTCTGCCTCCCTGAGTGCTGCGATTAAAGGCGTTCACCAGCACCTCTCAGGCTTCACTTTATATACCCCAGATCACCTGCCCAGGGGTGGCCCCATCCACAGTGATCTGTGCCCTTCCACATTAGTCATTAACAAGACCTGCCTACAGGCCAATCTTGTGGAAGCATTTTCTCAATTAAAATTCCTTCTTCCAAGACATGGCTAGGTTTGTGTCAAGTTAACAAAAACAAATCAGGGACATCAACAAAATGACAGTGCTAATCTCACAGGCAAAATGGTATATCCATTTAGACTCTAGAGAAAAGGTACAGACTGCCATTTTTATCATGGAAATGTGCTTGATAGCATGCATTTACAAAGCTTCATGGGCGGGCGTGGGTGTAGCTCAGCTGCAAGCCATGAGGCCCTGTATTTGATCTCTGACCCTGCATCTACCCAGACCAAAACAAATACATATGGAATGCATGGCAGTCACAAGTTAAATTCTGCTGGGCACGGTAGTGTATGCCAGCACTTGGGAAGTGCAGGTAGGAGAATCATGAATTCAAGGCCTTCCTCAGCTATGTAAATGAGCTTGAGGTTAGCCTGGGCTATGTGGGACTCTGCCTCAGAATTTATATTTATATATTTTTTCTAGTTTAAATATATAGTGTATATTTTATACTTATATATTTTGTATCTATAGATGTCCTGCTTGCATGTATACATGCAGTGCCCCTGAGGCAATTAGATGTCAGATCCTGCGAAAATGGAGCTACAGACAGTTGTGAGCTGCCATGTGGGTGCTGGGAATTGGACCCAGTCTTCTGAAAGAGCAGCCAGTATTCCTAACCACTGAACCATCTCTACAGCCCCCTTATGTTAAATATTAAAACAAAACAGGAGCTTCTGGGGCCTGGCTGGTAAAATGACTTAGTTGGTAAAATATTTGCTACGGAAGCATGAAGGCCTGAGCACTCACATAAAAAATCAGGCATATTTAATTTTTTCTTATTACATTTATTTGCTTTATTATGTTGGTATGAGCACGCCATGGGGTGAGTGTGGTGGTCAAAGGACAGCTCTGGGGAATCCGTTCTTTCCTGCCATGGAGAGCAAACTCAGGCCGTCCTTTGCCAGTTGAGCCGTCTCATTGGCCGTTGACAGATATACTATACTTTTTCCCACCTAGAAATAAATCTTGCACATCTTTCCTTGTAGACTATCAGCTACTTGGTTCCTCGGTGGCTTTAGCAAGACTCCAGGGAGCTTACCTTGTCTTCAGATGTAGGGGTGGCCCACAGACATGGCTGTCAGTGGGAGCACAAATCCTATGGCATTTTCTCAGCAATTAATC